GAGGAAGATGCAATTAATAACCCCATTTTAAAGATGATAAAACTGAGGCTAAGAGAATTCATGATTTCTACCCTATATCATCCAGCTAATTAGTAACAGAGCCAGAATCACAGTCCAGGTCTGTCTATTACCAGGACCTGTTCTTTGAATTGGTAAATTTTGACTTTCTACTAGCACCATGGCGGGAATAGTAAGGTTGTAGATAATGGAAAATATGATAATTTTACAGATTTTGCATCAGTGATAGCCAAGTCCAATTTACACACATGAAAAACGCAAGAAAAATATAACATTTTCCTTTAATTAGGTGTGAATATGAGAGTGCACAAAAAGAAAATAGCAGTGAAGTTCCATAAGCAATGCCTGGCGACATTTCCTTCCTCTCTGTCTGCGAGATGGGTGGCATTCTGGAAAGATGGAAAATGCAGGGGGGACATTGCTGACTAAGGAAAGGTCCTGAAAGGAAGTATTAGTATAAACAAAATGCACATTTGTATCACTCTTTAGGGCTAAGAGAACATCTCTGTGCATTATTTTATCTAATCTTCACTCAGTTTCCACAGGGTAGGTGTACTGGAGATTATCATTTTGATTTTATTTCTTTGTTTTTTTCTTTTTAAAAATTTTGGAATATTATGGATAACATTCTAAGGGTCAGTGAGACCCGATTAGTGGAAGAGCCTGGACTGAAACTGAACTTTTCTGCTGAGCAGTGGACTTTCTAGTATATTAGCCTCTGAGATGGTAGAATAAGCATGTTATGATGAGAGATATAAGATGTGTGTGGGCAGGTAAGATAAGAAGACTAAAGTTGTTTTTTTTTTGTTTTTTGTTTTTTTTATGAAAATAGAGTTAAATATGGATATACAAATGTAGCAAGACAATGAAAGGTTTTTACAGACTGCGCACAGAATTCCAATGTGATTGTGGTGGCAAGAGGGAGACAGTGTGGTTTGTTAAGGATAGGAGATGACATCCCTTACTGAGCTTTGCAGTCATGCAAACCTGAGGTTAATACAATTAGCTATTTAACTTCTTATCTTGTCTTTAAAGAGAGAATATTAATACTTCCATCACTAGGGTTTTTATGGTGACAATAAAGGAAACATTCGATAATGTATGTGAGATACACATAGCAAACTCTCCATAAAAAAACAATGATTGTGATTATAATTATAAATAAAGTGAAATAAAAACTGTATTTGAATTTGGTTAACCTGGAAGCAATGCATAAAAGCAGAGAACAATGAATCCTCTAGACAAGGGGTATAAAATAATGTGACATCATTTTAACATATAAAATTCTACTGTCCCCCATAAAATCTTTTGCTGGTTTTCCAATTATACTTGGAATAAAATTCAAACTCTCTGGCCTTTCCTACAAACAGTTGCATAGTGAACCTACTGAATTCTCCTCTAGGATTATGTATTGAGGCTTTCTTCCTGGTTTCGAATCTCCCACTAGACTGGGATTCTTTTATTTCCTGATAGTCTACGGAGAACGTTCTTCAGCCAACTCCTCACCTGATCTCAACTTAAAGGTTACTGCTCTGACTCCGGTGGGGCAAAGGCCATATATGTAACCTAAACCTTTGTACCCCTATAATATGCTGAAATAAATAAAAAAATAAAAATAAAAAATAAATAAAATATATTGGGTTTTTCTGAAACCAAAGGGAAAAAAAAAAGACTTCTCCTACTTTTAGTTCTATAGCATCTCATTAACTATTAATTTTTAAAAATTATATGTGTTTGTATTTAAGCAATTGAATTATTGGCAAGGAAGTATAGAAGTATATGAATTAACATGAGTTGAAGTTCTCTGAAATATAGTGCTCTGGACAATAGAAAGGAGAAAAATATGAAGACCCTGTACAGAAAGATTCCCAGCCTGCCGAGGGTAATGATCCATTTATATAACATTTCAAGATATCAGTACAAGAGATGCCAGACATGGTAAGAGTGATTAATTGCCAAATTAAGGGGAAGAAAAAAAAAAGATCTCTAAGTGTTAGAGTTGAAGAGGGCAGGAAGCTGTTGACTATTCCAGGAGCTGTAGAATAAACCATCAAGGGATTTACCATTAAGAAACATTAGAGGTCTAAAGACTACTGCAATTGTTCTGTAAGCTAAAATAGAAAGCTCTGCTTTAAGCTCTTCAAGCCTGTGGATTAATAGTTTGTGGGCATGTGCATGCATGCATGCGTGTGAGAGTGCGTGTATCTTTCCTACTTTTCTGTGTGAGTTTTTGTGTATCTGTGGTTTGTTGTGTTTGTTTTTGGTGAGTATAAGCAGAGCATATGACAATAGACTCTAGAGTTTTGAAAGCAACAGGAGTTTTGCCGCTCGATGGTTGTCATTTCATTGCATGTGGCATCAGCCTTACATCCTAGGACTCCGTCACAGTGACATTATTACAGTGTCAAGAGTTAGACTGTCAGAGGCTTCTATGTCCACCTACGACTCTCCCTTACAATAATTCATTTGTTGAAGAAGATAATTATATTAAACCCAAAACATATTTTGAAATGCTTGCTAAATGAAATCAAAAAACTCTCTGACTCTATATGATGTGCCAAGAGACATCCAGTGGGTTACTTGCGTATTTTCATTAGAGAGATGATGCTCTACTTAAGTCTTGTAAAAGGTAAATATGAAATAAACCTAACATGTTCATATTATTTAAGAGATGTATTAGATCCGAATGTCTTTGTGAAATTTAAGAAACATTTTCTCTAAAGTTAAAGAGATAGTGGCTTTGCTTAATCAACTTCAACAGCTGTATTTTTTTCATTTTTGACAAGAATTATGAATGTAGACCACAAATGCCCTACCGTGTCCATGGATCTGGCATCACTGAAAAATAGCAAATGTATAACCAATTGAATAGTGAGGGGAAAAAATGCATCATCTAGGAGTATCATAATAAAAGGATACTGAAATCTGACAGTTTTTAGAAGATCCATGAAATAAAGAGCAAGTATAATCTTGAAATTCCATCTACTAGAGATTTGTTTCTTAGTCAACCATGAGCACTGGCTTTTGGAGATTATCAAGGTAGGAGCAGATCTAGAATTAAGAAGTCCACGTCAAGATCACAGGGACAAAGGGAAGTTTTCAGACCCTGTTGCATCTAAGTCAAGAATCTATCACTTCCTTAAATAGACCTGACCACCTAGTCTAAAGCAGAAATGAGATTTATGCCCAGCTATTTCCATCATATCACATTATTTCTTCTTCTATTTATTATATTTTGAAATTACATTTTTATATATTTGCTTATTTGATTACAATCTCTGCATTCCCCCCAGCACGGATGCAGATAGGTCATTGACTTTGTTGGTCTTATTGATGTATGTATCCTTAACTCCTAAAATAGTGCCTGACACACAGTAGGCACTAAGTAAACATTTACAGTGATTGACATGAAAATAAGATAAGGGAACACAAGATAGAAAGGCTATAGCATTATAACATGTTAATTATCTGCTCAAGATATATTTGTTTTTTGGGTTTTTCTTTTTTTGTTTCTGTAGCTTAAAATATTATGTAATATAACTATAGTAAAATATAGTCATTAAACATTTAAAATAAAAAAGTGTTACATTCATTCATTAAATGATTTTATTGATTATCTTATTTCATTATAATTACAGCACTGTTTCCTCAAATCAGAATTAGATAGAATAACGGTGAATACCAACATAGTTTTATCCTTGGAGGAAAAGCAATCTTTTTATTTTACTATCATTGATTTGTACATTGTAGACTTTGTTCATTTTCTTGAGTGGTTAGTGTTTATCCTTGTTCTTGAGGGTTCTATAAAAGATATAGGTTCTTCCTTCTAGAGACTCAATACTTAGTAGGCAGAAAGGTAAGGGAACCAACATATACCAGTTCAATATGGTGATGGCAATAAAATTGTGCACAGTGAACTGAGAGAGCGCAGACAAGCAGATGCCAACCTTATGGAGTTGGTCACAGAAGGCTTATCAGAGAAGGATGGAGAGCAGAAGGCAGAAGTTATATGGTTAGGCTGAAGTGGTCATTTGTATGGCAAACAGGGAAATTCAAATAGTTGATATATATTTGGGTCGGTTAAATTTAGGAATGATTGGAAATAAGGTTGGAGGAACAGGCAAGGGTCATATCACAAAAGACTTTCATACCATTCACACTGCAGGTAATGCACATTAAAAATGTACCTGCCATCCAATATGACTAAAGCTGTAAGGGTAGTCCCATTATACTACAAGAAGCAATACTTTGCAAGAAGATCAGCTAAGTGAGAAACAGGGCACCTTTGGGTAACAGTGGCTCTAGGGGTAAGAGAACCATTGTAGCAGTTAGGATTTTCCAGAGAAACAGAAATATAGGAAAAAGAGATAGATAGATGATAGATAGATAGATAGATAGATAGATAGATAGATAGATAGATAGATGATAGATAGATAGATAGATAGATAGATAGATAGATAGATAGATAGATAGATATTAAAGGCATTGGAGACAGAGAAGTACCACAATCAGTCTTCTGCAAGCTACAGACCCAATAAAGCTTCTGGGATGATTCAGGCTGAGTCCAAAGAGCTGAGAACCAAAAGCGTCAATGTTGTAGAACAAGAGAAAATGTATGTCCCAGCTGGTGGAGAGAGAATGAATTTGCCCTTCCTCTACCTTTTTGTTCTACTTGGGCCCTCGAAGAATTGGATGATGCCCACTCATGTTGAATGGATCTTCTTTATTCAGATAACTTATTCAAGTGTTAATTTCTTTGGGAAACACCCTCACAAACACACCTAGAAATAATGTTTTACCAGATATATGGTCATCCTGACCTAGTTAGACACATAAAATTAACCATCACAGCCATCACTGTTGCCACTTTTACAAATTCAGAACTTTAATTTGTTCAGTTCATCCAGAGTTTTAGTTAGCTTAGAATGACAAAATTCATAAGAGACAGACACTATTATGTCCAAGTATAAATGAATACTTACATCTACTTGTTAGTCCTTTCCCTTCTGTATGACAGCCTAGAAACTGAACAAGAATAGGACAATCTTATTGATAAATATATTAAAATAAGTTGCTAGAGTAAATTTATTCAACGGGTGGAGGAAAAATAGAAAATTAATTATGTGCATGGTCAGAGTCATTCAAGAGGGCTAAAAATAAATGCATGTACATTGTACTTTGAATATCCTTTTCTAAGTTTCTGTGTTATGCATTTCTAAAAGAAATAGTCTTTCTTCGGATTATAGTAAATTTGATTAGGCTTGGAGTACTTATATATAAAGACATATTTTTTCCAAAATAGTTTTCAGATGATAAATATAAACCTTATAAAATAGTTATTAAAATTAAAATATGATAGTAAAATCATATTTATCCAAATAATTAAATGTAAACTCTATTGATATTTTATTGGAAATCATTTCATCTTTTTATACACATAGTTTACATATGAAAATATGTTGTTTATAAACCTATTTTTGATTTAGTGATAAGTCATTGTCATCTATTAGTTGTATTAACTACTGTGCCTCATGCTTTTGGTAATGATATATCCATATTTCATGTATACAAAGTGCTTTGAAGGAAATTGAGAATACATATATCATTTCCTTTAATTATGAATATTATTAGAAGAGATATCTTTGCATGTGTAAGATTCCTGTTTACTTATTTTTATCATAGAATAAATTCCTATAAGTAGAATTTGTAGGTTAAAGGCATACATATTCTGATATTACTTTCTAGAATTTATATTTAAGCAGCAATATTACCATACTCTCATTAAAATTATATTAATATTTGTCAATGCTTGTTACTTTGATAGCCAAAAGATATTTCCTATATATGCATATATATAATATTTTATTATTATTAAGGCTGAATACCTATTGTTCTCACTAATCCTTTGCTTTTAATTTTTAACTATATCTTGATATTAGTCTTCCATACTTATATTGCTAGCTTTTGTTATCTTATTAGTGATTTGTTGAAGTCTGTTAAAACAACTGATACTGAACACCACCATGTGCCAAACAGTTTTCTAGGCCTCTAAAATATAGTAGTGAGGACAAAGACAAAACATTATCACCAAAAAAATTAAATAAATGCATACATATATACATATATAATATATATATATATACACATGTACAGTGTGGTTTTTCTCAATGAGGGTCAAACATATAAAGAATATTTTTCCAACCTTTCCAGTGGTATATTATAAACCATTTCTAAAGGTTCCCAAACACCCATAGGGTACATTTGAAGAAAATGTGGATGCTGAGGCCAAGTTTACCTTTACTCACCTCTAGGTATACCTTTACCATCATTAAAGTAAGGATCAAGATCATGTTATAAACAAGGAGGGCCAGCACCAATATCAGGACATGAGTCATGAAGATAAAGAAGTTTGCTTGCCTTTGTTGTGCAAATTCTATTCTGTTTTAATCTAACTTGTAAAATTAGAAACTTGTTTACTAACACAAAATAAAAAAGAAAGATAAAAGAATCTTAGCACGAATACTCTAATGAGTTAGGAACTGGAGAAATAGTAAAGCCTGTGTAGACAAAAATCTTAACTTACCTTCTTCTATATATGCTTTCCAGGTAGACATAATAAATGGCTTTGCTACAGTAATAACCAAAGTTTCTATCAAGGTACTCTTTAGATATTCACCACAAATTTAATTTGAATCTTTTATGCTCATAAAGCTTCAATATCTACTTTTCCCACCCCATATTTTTATTTTATTTTTGATTGCTTCTGCCCTTGCTCTTTCAAACTAGACCTAAATTGAAAGTGTCAGAATATTATATCAAAAGCCATTTAGATTGTTTTTGAATGGAGTGCAGATAAGTATCCAAACTTTTGAGTGCTTGGTCTAGTCCATTATGTATTTCAATGTGCCTTCAGGAAGCAGTTCCTGGGCTGTGACAAATGTTCCCCATTGCTGTAACTTGCAAATGAGTTTGAACACCTAGAGGTACAGGACAACTGATAACTTTAAGGATAAAACATGAAGAATTCCAAATAAACTGCTTGGACTGTCATTATCAAGGCTGGTATTTGGTGACTTCTCAGCCCCAGCCCCCGATGAGTGATGTGCCACATCTGTCCAAGACAAGTATCATTTTCTGAGAAAGTCTTTGACAATTAATCTCATAGCAAAGTAAATGTTGCATTATTGTGTAGATTTTTATCATGTGTTCAAAATACTAGAAAAGATTTTTTTTATTGATTGAAAACAAGTGAAACTGAAAACTCTTCTTTAGAATTATTAGTATTTGCTATTTCTGTTCAAATCGAGTAAATTGACTCAGCCTCTCTTGTGCCTAATTCAAGCCATCTTTTTTAATTAAGTCATTTACATATATTGACTATCTTGTGAGTAATTTTTACATTTACATAATACTTCCCAGAGCTTCAGATGCTTTGCAAATATTACATTCTTTAAAGGTCACTAATCTTTTTTTAAAAAAGAAAAGAATTTATTATATGGACATTAAAGGTCACTAATCTTGAGAAAGGAGATGATGTCAGCAAGATGTCTGACTACAAGTAACTAACACTCATCTCTCCTGCAAAAGACCAAAACAACAAATGCACAACTACATCGTGACTAGAGTGTCTGAAGGAAAACACTGAAGTACAGCATGGGGGTGATAGAGACCTTGTGGAACACAAAGACTCAGAGTGACCACAGAGAGAAAGAAACAAAACACCCTACCACTGCCACACTGAATCAGCCTACAACTAGGAAGGACATTCCCTTGTAAGGGGAAAGTACACAGGAACTCCCCAGAGATGCCCATTGACACTGGAGACACCCACAGTCTTTGCTGCTGGAGAATCCTGCAGTCCTCACAGGTCTTGTGAACAGATTGGGGAGCTACTATTTCACAGCCACAGCTACAGCTGCATTGCTCCAGAGAAGGAGCCCACATTGTTCCTCTACTTTCTGTGACCCAAATGGCTTCTGCTGTATTATGCCTTTTTATAAACAGAGCCACTGATGAGTGTGTTCTATCCCAGGGGCCAGAAGCTACTGCATCTCCTAGTCACTGAGGCCCCACCACCATTACACCATGATCACATATATTAGTGCACCATTTCCCAACTGAACTGCTATAGCTCCCTACCCCTGGGAACCGGCTGCTTAGGGGACATTCCATCTACCCTTTTTACCCCCAGTGGCTACAATACCCTGATTTTGGCTACTTGGAGCCTAGGTACAGTGAAATAGCCATAACCTTGGTACCTGAATCTACATGGCACCTTGCCTCCCAAGGAACAGGTAGTCTTGTACAATGGAAAAGCTAAGTATAATGCTTCCATGGAATACAAAACAGCCCAGTATCCTCCTGACCTTAGGGAGCCCTGCCTGAGCCATGGACCAGCCACACAAATTCAAGTAGCCTACGTTACTGAAACGATTATAGGCATCACTAACATTGACTAAAACTGAAGCAGTTGCATGAAGACTATACTAATGAGTGCACTCTGAACCAAAGCCAATGTATCCTGCCCAGTAGACACCACAGGACATATCTGCAGGTGAAAGTCTTTCTCTGCAAAAGCCACTCCATAAAATTAGAGGAGGCAAACATTCCACCAGATGCACAGATATTAATGCAGTGACACAAGATAAATGAAAAAGCAAGGAAATAATATACCACCAAAGAAACACAATAATTACCCTATAAATGATTCCAAAAGAAATTTACAAACTCCCTGGAAAGGAATTCAAAATAATGATCTTAAGAAAACTCATTCAGATATAAGAGAACAAGATAATTCAATGAAACAAGGAAAACAATTCATGATCTGAATGAGAAATTTCTAAAAAGAGATAGATATCATAAAAAGCAACCAAACAAAAATCTTGGAGCTGAAGGATTCAATTAATGAAATAAAAAAAAAATACAATTGAGATCTTCGACAGTGAACCAGATAAAGCAGAAGAAAAAAATTCTGAACTTGAAGACAGGCCTTTTGAAATAATGAGGAAAAGTAAAGGAATAAAAAATGGTAAAGAAAGCATACAGGACTTATGAGATACCATCTAGGGAATGCATTTTCTTCATTACTAAAATGACAGAGGAAGAAGACACTGGGGGAGAAGGGGACAAAAGTTTATTTAACAAAACAATAGCTGAAAACTTCCCAAGTCTTGAAAGGCATATAGAAATCCAGATCCACAAAGTTCAAAGAATTCCAAACAGATTCAAGCCGAAGAGATCCTCTCAAAGCACATTATAATCAAATTGTCTAAAGTCAAAAACAAAGAATTGTAAACAGCACAAGTGTCAAGTCACATATAGGGAATACTTGTTAGACTATCAGCAGATTTCTCAGAAAAAAATCTTTTAGGCAAGGGGAGATTAGAATGATATAGTCAAAGTGCTGGAAAAAACAAACTGCCAATCTGTGATATTGTACCCAATAAAGCTATCCTTCAGAAGTGAAGGAGAAATAACGCCTTTTCCAGACAAGGAAAAGCTGAGGGAATTTATCACCAGTAGACCAGCCTTACAAGAATTGGTAAAGGGAGAGAGCTTAAACTGGAAGCAAAAGGACAGTAATTACTCTCATGAAAACTTATGAAAGTAGTCTCACTAGTAGGGGCAAATTCATTAACAAATTGTAGAATCTTAATGTTCTGGCCTCTTAACTCTGGTGATCTTCGACAAATCACATCATCTCTTAGAAGGTTTACCTTCTCTGAATAAACGGGAATAACTAGAGGATCAATGTCATTTGTGGCTGTGAAATTAAATGAAATGACACATGTAGTGTAATTAAGCTAGCATTAGAACTTCAATAAATGTTCAATAAATGTTACCTGTGTTCATTGCTATTATTCTTTCAAAAGTATATTCTTACAGAAACAAAGTGTTTCACAGGTATGCAACATAAAGCTACTGTCTTCCTGAAGGAATAGAAAAAAAAAAAAAAAACCACAAAGAATAGTGTAACTTGGCATAAAATCCAGCTGCTTAGTTTTGCATACGTAGAAATATTTTTAGAAGTTTATTTGTAAATTAACTCCTTCCTGGCCATGGTGTAATCTGATTTAAAAATGGTAGTAGTCATTTCTGGTATGGCAAACCTTCACTCAATTCTGGCTATAAAATCACCATGAGAGCTCATTTTTGTGCTTCCTTCTTTCTTTCTAACAAATTCTTGGGGGGCATTTATAAATATAGTATATTTATATTATAAAATTTTATAAAGTATATATTTTAATCTCTTTAAGAAAAGATCAAATGGAAACATGTGCATGGACTCCACACATTGTCATCTGCCCTAGATAATCTCTTTATTGGGTTTCCTTTGAATTTAAGCTTATACACGTTACAGTTCAACAGTTAGTGAAATCTCCTTCAGTCAGAAGTTTATAAGGGAGAAGTTACCAGGATACTATACATTAATTCTGAGAAACTTGTGATAATAAAGTGGACTACCCTTAGTTGTGCTGTCTTTATAATAATCACTAAAGATGTTTATGACTATGACAAAATCATTTATTAAGAATTACTGAATCTGCATTCTTTAATGAGAATCGTGATTGATATATTTGCATATAAGAATATGGAAGGCCAGAATGCAGCTCTTGTTATCAGGCTTAAATTCCATTTTCTTAACATCATGTACAACTTTTAACCAGTTGTTACAATCTGAAATGTCTTCTGTATATTCCACAATATTCCAGAGGCAAGATATATCCTTCTGGCTTCAGTGCCAGTCTTTGCCTCTACACTTACTCAATATATATTGTGCAAGTTCTTTATTATTTACTCATGGAAAACTTTGCGTCTCCCCAATGTCTGCAAATTCTGACATTATTTAGATGATTATTCTATGGCTCTAACTTTATTTGTAACAAAAAAATTATCAATTCTAGACTACCTTTGGAATTAGTGTTTGGAGACACAGCGAATACATCAGATCTATTTAAAACTTTGGGAAGATTTATTTTCTCCTTAGATATGTATGGTGTGTGTGTGTGTGTCTGTGTGTGTGTGTGTGTGTGTGTGTGTGAAAATAGATCCCTAATGCACAAATATAAATGCCATGATAGTCTCTAAACAATACCATCAAACATCTTCTGTACCATGGGACACGAGAGGGCTTCACAATTCAATCACATTGTTGAGGTTTGCATTTATATCACACTTCTATGCAATTGTCAGGTAGCTTTGAAATTTCTCTATTTCACGTTTATCATAAATCCTGAACTAAGTCACCAACCCACAAAATTCAGTCATAATACTTTTAAGATATCCACTTCTGAAGTAATAAAATATTTTCTTACATTGTTTAGGTTTAACTGTTTAACTGATTCTGAAAACATTTTGCCAAGATGGGTTTCCCAAAGAGCTTAAGAATTGGATAACATCCCAGAAAACTTCTTATGAAGATGCAGGTGAAAATGTCACTCATCTAGCAGTTTGTGTTCAAAATCAGTTGCATTACTTCATACCCAAGCTTTGTACAATTAATAAAGTATTCAATAAATGTTCCTTGGATTGGGTAAATGAATAGAAAATTTGAAACCATAATTATAATTCAATGGCATGCACAACCCAAAGATCACACCATGTATCTCCTTCTCTGCTAAAGAGTAGATTCTATCTTCTTTTTCTTCAAGATACTATCCAGGAATTTCCCACAAGGCCTACCTTTGATGAGCCTCTCGTGTTCGACCCTAGATGATTAGTATTACCTTCTTGAGGCTGGCTGCAGATCATGTGGTCTTATTTCATTATAATTATCATTAGAGCTCTGGCTAGGAGGTTCTGCTTAGTTTTCCAGAGTTACAATTCCCTCTTGACTATGATTAAACTGTCTTTGGATTCATGGGCCTGGAGAACTTAAACAGTCCAATTTAATGAAAAACAATTTTCATAGCCATCTGGCAATAGTCTGAATATTTCTAGAAGTTAACTTTTTGCATATTAAACTTCTAAAAGAAATAATTAAATCAGCTTTCATAATAGCCCACGTAGAGAGAGGCCTTTCTGTGTGTTCCTACCGGCCCACTGATTTGTGTGTCTGCTGTACTTCCTCAGTAGTTTTGGAGAGAAACAGATCATTTATATAAATTATAATCAATAGGGGTCTGAGTGCTGAGCTCTTTGGAATAGCCTCTTGGGTACATTAGATAGTGAAAGATGAAGAAATTAATCTTAACTGCTTGGATTCTTTCATCAAGATAGGATTTAAATCAATTAATTATAATTTAGAAAAATTTTAGAGCCATAAAGCTTTCAGAATGAAAATTGTGTTTGTGTAATTATGAAGAAAGTTATTCCTATTTAAAAAGGCAGCTCCACAAATGCAGGTCCTTTAAGTTGTTTATAAACTTTTTCATTTTGTTTTTAAGTTCAATCTTAAGAACAAAGCCAGATTTGTTAAATGAATTAAGCATTTATTGATTATAGCGTATGAGTTTTCTAAGAATGATAACTCAGAGTCGCTCAGAAACAAGAAGATAGACTTTGCATTATTTTGAATCCTTCAAGCCTGAGTATAGTTTGTACAACTAAATAACAGTATGTTTGCTAGGAGAAACTTGAAATCAAAACACACACACACACATTTAGCCTAAAATGTGATTTTGCTTTAAATTACTAGTTGAAGGAGCTGGTAAATTATATTCCCCTTGCATGTTTGCTTGGGCCTACCTGGACAAATAAAACTTTGGAAAAATTATTGCTACCCAAATATCCTTATTGGCAAACACTTACCAGATAGATCGTAAGGCCAAGTGGGAATGATGTTTGCTTTATAATCAAACTTGGTCTATGTGTCTTCTATTCCTACTTGAGCCATTTTTGACATAAGACTGTAAGCCACACTCCATATATGACACTCATTTTCTATATAAGTAAATGGATAATAATAACAAGAGACATTTGTGAGTCAAGTAATATAATGAATGCTTAAGAAAAAGTATAGGTGAATATCCTTAGTACTTAATGCTTTGAATATATTTCCATGGAATTAAGGACACTGATAAATGCTTCATTCAAAAGAATACAGGGTTTATGCAAACACAAAAATCACTTGCTTTATTATCCAACTCTTGATAACCTTAATGGAAATGAATGCATTTCAAGAAGGCCAAATGCATATTATCTCTTTTTTAAAGTTGAAAGTATTTCTAGTGCTAAACATTCACAGGTAGCCAATTCCACGTTAATGATGCTGGTAAATCTAAATCACAAGATACATTTGGAATCTTAATTTAAAGCAATACTAATAAAATATTTGATTGAGCTGATAAAACATTAGATGTTTAAATAGTAAATAATCAAGTGCAATGAACAGGAAACCATTTAAAGAGTCCATGGCCTTTCAAACAAATCAATAGTTTTATGCTAATTTATAATACTCTTTTTCTTCTTTCTTTTTTCTTTCCTTTTCTTTTATTTCTTTATTTTATTTTTTTTTTTTTTGGCTTTTTTCCTTACCATGCCAAAAATCCAATCCTTAGGAAGCAGAAAAAAAAAAAAAAAAAAAAAGGAAAAAGCTGAAAAAATGAGAAGCAAACATATGCACACACTTTCTTTTGTTGGCAAAGCAAGAGTGCAGTTTTGATATGTACTGTTTGGTAATCACTGATTGGTTAGTGGGCAGAGAGGCAAGTATGAAGGTGATGCTGCCAAAGCAGAAAGCTAGTTTCTTGGGAAAATCTAAATCAGAGTGGAGCTTTTTAAAGACCGTGTACTTGGAGGTAAAAACAACCCCCTCCCCCAAAAAAAAAAAAAAAAAAAAAAAAA